ACTACACACCATTATTGTCAGATACATGAAAGAACTCACACTGGGGAGAAACCTTATGTGTGCAAGGAATGTGGAAAAGCATTCACTACACACCAATATTGTCAAATACATGAAAGAACTCACACAGGGGAGAAGCCTTATGTGTGCAAGCAGTGTGGAAAAGCATTCACTAGAAAGAGTTCTTATAACATACATGAAAAACTTCACACTGGAGAGAAACCTTATGTGTGCAAACAATGTGGGAAGGCATTCACTACTCATGAATATTGTCAAAGACATGAAAGAACTCACACAGGGGAGAAACCATATGTGTGCAAGCAGTGTGGAAAAGCATTCACTACAAAAAGTTCTTACAATATACATGAAAGAACTCACACTGGGGAGAAACCTTATGTGTGCAAGGAATGTGGAAAAGCATTTACTACACAACAGTCCTGTCAAATACATGAAAGAACTCACACTGGGGAGAAGCCTTATATGTGTAAGCAATGTGGAAAAGCATTCACTAGAAAGAGTTCTTATAACATACATGAAAAAAGTCACACAGGGGAAAAACCTTATGTGTGCAAGCAATGTGGGAAGGCATTCACTACTCATGAATATTGTCAGAGACATGAAAAAACTCACACTGGGGAGAAACCTTATGTATGCAAGAAATGTGGAAAAGCATTCACTACAAAGAGTTCTTATTACATACATGAAAGAACTCACACTGGGGAGAAACCTTATGTGTGCAAACAATGTGGAAAAGCATTTTCTACAAAGAGTTATTATAACATACATGGAAAAACTCACACTGGGGAGAAACCTTATGTGTGCAAGGAATGTGGAAAAGCATTCACTACAAAGGGTTCTTATAATATACATGAAAAATGTCACACAGGGGAGAAACCTTATGTGTGCAAACAATGTGGGAAGGCATTCACTATACATCAATATTGTCAAAGACATGAAAGGACTCACACAGGTGAAAAGCCCTATGTATGTAAGCCATGTGGCAAAAGATTTGCTAGTAAGTCCTCATTTTATATACATAGATCTCATACTGGGAGGAACACTTTGTATATAAGCAATGCTGGGAAAGCATTCAGTGAACACAGTTTTTTATCAGCTACATGCAATAAGTTACACTTGGGAGAAAACCTATATGTGTAAGTCTAATTTGAGAACCTTGTGAAATTTCCTCATGTAGTGTAGGCCTGTAGAAAGTAAATGAAAAACTTGATGTCAATACTTCCTTATAAATTTTCCAGAAAATACACTCCCAGATGGAGATACCCTTCCTTCTATGTTTTCAGTAAATCACTTGTAAATATCTGAACTATGTATCCTAGTTTTTGTTATAAAAATACTTATATAATGTATTTTTGTGAAAGCCGTTGTCTTTGAACTTAATATGCAATATCTTCTAATTAAACAAGAGGAATTCAAATGTATTTCTCACTTCCAAGTAGGGTTAGTATTTATGTAGTATTGATTTTGTTTTATTTTTACTATTGGGAGGAAAAGCCCACTAAAAAATAAATTTTATTTTTTGTTAATTGATGGGATTTCCCAGTAGCTTTGATTTTAATTTTCTTGGTGTATATACTTCATATGCTGTGTTTAAAAAGATAATGTTGAATTTGATATGTGTATATATATGTATATTTAAAGATATGTGAAGATGAGTTTTTAAAAAGTTCAGTTGTTTTCACACAACTTGTAGATTAGCACATATTTTGTTTGTCATATCCTAGCAAGGTACCTGGTTATTCCAACATAATTATATTATATCAAGTATGTAATTTTGTCTATTTTGCTTTCATGTCATTCTCAGCATTATGATTTACATAAAATTTTGTTTTCTTAACAGTATTTTACTTTTCATGCTTATATTTTTATGAATTCAAATTTTGTGTTAATTTTACCAACATTTATACCAGAAAATTAACCATCCTGCTGTTTGTGACACATCAGATGGACCATGGTTTTCTGTAAAAGATATCATGAATTGTAGTGCTGTATCAGTTAGTGCTTATTAGAGAAACAGGTTTAATGCAAGATGTACACATATGAAAGTATTTATAAGATTGGCTTACAATGGCTGCCCACACCATTAAATATGGTAGTGTGCAAAAGGTCTGCCTTGGTACATGATATCCAAAAAATCCAGTTGAAGGCCTGAAATTCTATTTTAATGTGCAGGTCTGTATCAGGAGACCAAAGGGTCTGTGCCCAAAGACTGAAATGCTCAGCACTGGAGACTGAAGAGTCTGTGCTGTAAGCCATGAGGTGACTTCCAAGGTAACGGTGAATACTGGAGCTCCTGCAAAGAAACAGAAGCAAGCCTTCTTTTTTCATTTCTTATAACATTCTGTCAACAATCGTCCCTAGGGTGGGTCTTCCACACTCATAATTTTGCAGTACAAGTTTAGTTGGACATGTAGTACTCATGTTGAAACAGTTAACTAGGACAGTCCATCCCTTGACAACTTCATAGCCAGGCACATTTCTTTAAACCATAGTGTTCAGATATAAAGAGTTCATAAATATACTAACATGTTATAACTGTCCTGTATACAAATGGAAACACATTAATTCCATTCCCCAGAATAGAAGGGAAGTTTTATTTGCTTGATGCTTCTCTAACATTTCATAACATGAACACAATCACATAGGTTTAACAAAACTCAACCAATATGAAGTCTATCAATATTATATTACATTGGAAGCATGTTAAGAAAGAACTATTATAATTATAATCCTTATTTCTGTAGCTGATCAACAAGGTCATAGCTGTTATTTAGAACTACCTTGTAGTACCCACTTTGTTTTTTCTTGGCCTTCAGCAAGCACCTCAGCAGGTCTTCTTGTTTCTTTCCTTGGTATGGTGACCCATACCTTCAGTCCTAAGATTGTGAACCATTTGTTGTTCTGCCTTGATTGGATTGTTAGTTTTCCATTGACTTTAATAACAAGGCATGGTCATACTAGGAGGTACCCCAAGGAACCTCCTGTACTCCCAAGTATATTTTTTTCTCTCCTCCATTGTGGAGTAATAAGCTGGTTTTCCATTGACAGTCTATTGTCAGTCGTCCCTCTCAATATTGTAACACTCATTTCAGCTTAATTCCTCAGAGTCATAAGGTGACCAAAATGACCAGAGGAAATCCCTTTGATTCCAATTCAATGATATCCTTGTTTTGCTCCCTGCTACAAGCTTCTCACCCACCACCCCTGAAACTAAGACTTATTTCTAAGCTAGCAGAGCATAAAGTCATGACAATAGTGTGCAAAATTTTGCTAGTAGATTACTTCAGTAATGGTGAGTGCTCTACTGTTACTTCCACCCCTTCATTCCTTGACCCATGAATCCTGGCTATGGGAAACACAGTACCATATAGTGGATTCAAAGCATGTACAGCCTTTTGAAGAACTGTTCCCCAGCCCTGCAAGCTATTGCCACCTAACTGGTGATACAGGTATATCTTCAAAAGACCATTCCACCTTTTCTGTCAATCCAGCTCCTTCTGAGTGTCGAGGAACATGGTAAGACCAGTGAATTCCATGAGCATGAGCCCATAGCCTCATTTGTTTGGCCATCAAATGTGTTTCTTTGTGTGAGAACTAATGCTGTGTGGAATTCTATGATAGTTGTTAGGACATTGTGTGAATCCACACATGGGAGAATTGGCAGTAACATTACAGACAGGAAAGACAAATCATATCTAGAATAAGTATGCCAGTAAGGACAAAGCACACTTCTTTCCATGATGTAAGTGGTTCAATCTGATCAGCCTGTGGAAGGCTGATCATCCCAGGGAATGGTGTCATATTGAAGAATCAGTGCTGGTCTCTGCTCGTGGGCTCTTTGGTATTCAACAGTTCCTGTAGGCAGATCTGGCTTAGTGAGTAGGAGTTCATGTTGCTGAGCATGCAAAACATCCAACCTTCCCCACAGGGCCACTCTTCATGAGCCCTCTGGGGAGTTGCAGGGCTGTCTGAAGAGAGAAGTTGACTACTATGTACAAAATGGGTCACATTACCCACTTGACTGTTAAAGTCCTCTTCTGCTGATGTCACATTTTGGTGAGTGTTTACATGGGATACAAACATTTTAAGATCCTTTGCCCATATAGATAGGTTGATCCACATCTCCAGTATCTTTGTGACCAATTTTCCAGTTACGTTCCTCCAAGTTTCTGACACCCAAAGAGACAAGTGGCTACAGCCCATGAATGAATATGCAGTCACATATCTGGCCATTTTTCCTACCAGGCAAAGTATACTCCCAAGTGGACTGCCTGAAGTTCTGCCCACCGGGAAGATTTCCCTTCACCAGTGTCCATCAGGGGCATCTTGGAAAGGGTTGTAGTTCTGCAGCTGTACACTTGCAGGGGATACCTGCTTAACATACAGAACCATCAGAAAACAGTGGCTAGCCTTCTTTCTCCTCCAGCAGTTATTCATGTTACTCCCCCTGTGTCTTTGGTACATGTTGGGAAACAGAAAGTCGTTATGCAGTAGTAGGAGCCATTGGCATCTGTGAAACTTCTTCATGTAACTTTCTTGTACCCTCTGGTTCTGCTCTGTCTCGATCGTGTATATACCATTTCCAGTTAATGATAGACTGTTGCTCTGCCCGTGCAAGTTGTGAATCGGTGGGTCTTACAATACCCAGCTCATGGTAGGCAGCTCAGGTTGCATGGTAACCTGGTGTCTCATGGTTAAGCATTCAGTTTCCACTAAGGACCAGTAGCAGACCAAGAGTTGTTTTTCAAAGGGAGAGTAATTGTCTGCAGCTGATTGCAGAGTCTTGCTCTAAAATCCTAAAAATCTCCACAGCAATTTACATGTGAAGGCCTGCCAGAGACTACCAAAAGCATCTTTTTGTATCTGTTACTGACACTTGAAATAACCGCTGGATCATATGATTCCTGTGGCAGAGCAACCTGGATGTGTTGCAGACACTTTTCTTGTTTGAGCCCTCACTTAAAAATAGTGGCTTTCTGTGTAACTCAGTAAATGTGACAGAATAAAACACCTAAGTGAGGAATATATTGCCTCCAAATAGGCCAACTGGACATTGTTCTTTTTCGGTTGTAGTGGAGCTGGATCAACCGTTTATCTTTTTCTTCATAAGGGCTATTTCTACATGCCTCACACCACTGGATACCAAAAATTTCAGAGGTCAAAGGATCTGGAATTTTAGTGTGATTTATTTCGCATCCTCTGGATCTCAAATTCTTTACTACCAAAATCAAAGTAGTTGTTACGTCCTGTTCACTTGGTCCAGCCAGTATGATATTATCAATATAATGAACCAGTGTGATGCCTTATGGAATAGAAAGGCTATCAAGATCCCTGCGAAGTAAGTTTCGACAAACTGCTGGGAGTTAATATAACCCTGTGGTCGGACAATAAAGGTGTTATTGCTGGCTTTGCCCACTGAAAGCACATTGCTTCTGATGGGCCTTATGGTTAGGGATGGAGAAGGAAGGCATTTTCCAAATCAATAGCCTCAAGTCAAGTTCCAGATGTGTTAATCGTCTCAAGCAAGGACACTACATCTGGTACAGCAGCTTCAACTGGAGTCACCAGTTGATTCAGTTTGTGGTATGTACCATCATTCTCAAAGATCAATACTTCTCATTCACGGTCTAAATGAAAGAATTAAATGGAGATATAGTGGGAAAAACTCCTGCTGCATCCTTCAACTTCTTGATAGTGGCAGTAATCTCTGAAAAATCTCAGGGAAAGTGGTATTATTTTTTATTTACTATTTTGTTAAACAAAGCCAACTCTAAAGGTTTTCACTTGGCTTTTCCAAGTATACTAGCCCTCACATTACAGCTTAAGGAACCAATGTGAGGGTTCTGCCAAGTACTGAATATATCTAACCTAACTGCCCATTCTGGAACTAGGGAAGTAACTCCAGGATGAATTTGAGGATCTACTGGACTAAAGTAAGTTGGACCATTGCTAAACTCCACTGGTCATCTGAACTCCATGGGCCCTTACTCTTATGGAGGACCACAATCATATTTTGATCTTTTGGAATCAGAGTTAGCTTAGAACCAGTGTCCAATAGTGCACAAAATGTCTGATTATTTTCCCTCCCTTGTACAGTTCTTATAAAAGGCTATGGGACCTTTTGGAGAAGAATGGAAGAAAGAGTGATCATATAAATTTTAGATGGTGCACCAGGGTCCCTCCTCAAGAGAACTTGGTCTCATCTTTATTCAAGGGTTCTACATCTGTAAACTGGTTCAAATCCAGAAACTGCTTGAGGGGCCAATTCCTTGTCACTACAAGTTGAAGTCAATTTCCTTTCATTGCTCTTAAATACTTTTAATTTTATAAATCTAGTAAAATTTCTGTAGGTTTCCCATCTATTTTACTTTTGGAAACACCATGGATAATCAGCAAACATCATAGGTCTGCAAGTGTCAGAAAATTCTCATCATTGTTCTGCTTCTGCTGTCCATTTTGGTAAGTGCATGAACTTTGGTTTTGTTGATTACATAGTGCTACTCTAGGATCCAAACAAACCCACTTTTATTATTATTTTTTTAAATTGTGAGACCAGGTCTTGCTAAGTTGCCCAGGCCGTGGAAAACTTTTGCTACTGTTTCCACCTCCTTGCCTATTAGGATGATAGACACATGTCACTTTCTTTGATCAAGATTGGGGTTCTTAAATCACCACAATTTACCAAGATTTCAATGCTTCAGTAAAATAAACATCACTGAGGCATGATGGTGCACACCTAATGACTTCCATTTGTAAGACTGAGCAGGAGTTATAGATCACCACGCCCAGCCTGGTAACTGAGCAACGCTCTGTTTCAGTATGAAATAAATACTT